ATGAAAGGGTGGAGGGATGGATGGAAGAAAGGAAGGAAGGATAGAAGGATAGAAGGAAGGAAGGGACATTCCTGTCTTCATTCAGGTGTCTGATCAAGTATCGTCTCATCACAGATGCTTCCCCTGTTTACCTTCTGTGAAATAGCATCCACACCGCCACTTTATCTCTATCAACTCTCAGTTTGGTTTATTTTTCTTCATAGTACATATCACTATCTACATTATATGTTTATTCTCTGTCTTCATCAGAGCAGAAGATTTGTTTTGTTCAGTGCTATATACTCAGTACTTACAGCAACACTTGGCACATAGTAGGTGTTTAATGTATGTATGTTGAATGAATGAATAAATAAATGAACAAAAGAAATGGAACTCATTTTACCCAATGCATTTTGCTATCACTTAGGATAGGATACCATACATTGAAGATGGTATACTGTTTATTCCAAAATGATCTTAGCCACAGTATTCGTAGTACAGTATTCATATATTTAGTATATGAATTCCCTTGAGGTTGACATCAGAGTTGTCCATCAGAGTATGTGTGGTCTTAGGAATCAGGGGCAATACCATCATCTTAAGCTTCTTGGCTAGTGATGTGTCCTTAACTAGATGGTGAACTTTGGGGTATAGGGGGAACATCTTCTATAGCTTTTATATTCTGCTTTTCAGCAAATAAATATTACAATATTGTGTGTGTGTAATGTGAGAGTAAATTTAATGTGCGTAATTAATTTAATGATTAAAAGGTAGTACTCTCTGCAATCCAGTTTTCTAAGATAACTTTTTGCCTTATTTTTGGTAGGTAATAAAGATATCATATTAACTGTTGATATATGCCTACTTAGTCATGATTGTCTTATAGTAATCTTCTTATCAAATCACCATCTTTTTACTTTTTTTAGGGAGGCAATCCCAGAATTGAGAATCCTCCTTTGCCTCCATTCAAAATAAGATTAGAAAATTTCCGGTGACCTACATTTTTTAAAAAATAAGCTTTTTTATTTTAGAGTAGTTTTAGATTTATAGAAAAGTTGCAAAGATGGTTCCTGGATACCACCCACATACCCAGTTTCCTCTTTTGTTAGTATTTTGCTTGATTATGGTACAATTTGTCACAACTAATGAACCACTATTGATACATTATGATTAAAGTCCATACTTTTATTTGGTGGTGACCCAGTTTTAAAACTTATTTTCCACAATTTCTAAAAAATGGAAATCAGTGTTGAATGTGCTGGCTTCCTGATTCTTAAAAGAAACTAAGTAACTTTGTACCTAATGGGGCTTCTCAGAAAATAAAGGACTAATAATAATGTGGGTTTAAAATTCAAGCGGGGGCGTTTTATAGCTTAACACATTTTGTTTGCAAGTTGGGTATTAATAATTAAGATGGCAAGGTGGGGTTTGATTAATATTAAAGCTGTTTTGTTATTTCATGGAAAATATGTTAGTACAAATGATTTGTCTTTCACAGAAAATGTGTCCTAAGATTGTACCAGAACAGTTTGCCCTGAGGTAGGAAATGTGTCCTCCTGGGACTGAGTTGAGATTCAGGTTAGGATACAGAATAAGTAGCCATTGGCTGAGAAGCTAATTTTTACAGTACAAATTGGTATAAATTTAGTCTAGTTCTTTTCCCTAGGACTTCCCAATTTAAGTTTAAATTTTGTACTGGTGCATATTAGAGATGCGGTTGTTTTGCTATTTCAGTGGAACCTTTTAATCAGCTTTAATGCTGTCCTGGGTAAAGTAAAAACTTAATCTTATCTCTCTTTTAGGGCGTGCCATCCTCAAAGCAGAAAAATCAGCAGTGAAGCAGCACTGCCTCTTGTAGACTCTGCTTTTATTAAATTTGCTTCAATAATCCTCTTCCAGTCCTCTTTTGTGCTGCATTTTTGAACAATAAAATAAAAATTGTACCCAAATGAAAATTTTAAATTATTTTAATGAAGTTCTGGAAACATCTCAAACCTCAGAAGATATTTTTTTCTAGTTTATTTTTTTTTTCCCTTTTTTGTCTTTTTTTGTGTCCGGCAATGGACCGCAACCCTCAGTGTCGCGCCCGTACCGGACCGGGACCGGCAACGGGATCGCAACCCTCGGTGCTGCGCCCGCCCCTCGCTCAGCCAGTGAGCGGGAACCGGTCTGTATGTGGGATCCGAACCCTCAGCGGGAGCGCCGCCGCGCTCCCAAGCGGCGCACTGTAGCAGTGTGCCACCGGGCCGGCGCCTCTAGTTTATTTTTTTAATTCTAGAAAGGAGGTCAGTAGAAATACCCTGTTTTGATTGGTTTAATTAGAAATGGAAAATTATGGGACTAACTCAATTTGAAGTGTAGAGTTAAATAAGAAGAATTATATTGGGATTAATGTTATTTAAGAGTTTGAATTTAAATTTGTAAGATGCATTTAATCATAGCTTATAATTTCTTCTTGAAACAATTTCATATAGCAAAGAGGAGGCCTGAGTGTTGGAATATATTAATACATAGGGGAAAATTTTGCCATGAAATGTAATATTTGACAAAGAAATCATTTTAGAACTGTATTTCTCAAATGGTATGCCTAAGAATATTATGCTACAGAGCCGTAATAGATATGCCTTGGTACAAAGTATTCTGTGCTCAACTATGTTAAATTCAAGAAGTTGTCTGCAGGACTTCTCAGAGCTGTTTGTTCTGAATTTCTAAGAGAGGGCATATATAGGGTACAGTACTTCACAAACTTATTTATCCCTAGACCAGTTAGTAACATTTTTCAGGAAAATGTCCTGAGTATACGAATTTGACCTGTTTTAATAATTTATACTTTGAAAAATGTTGAGAGCATTTTTTTTATTGTTGTGGTGATGATGTGATGTCATTAACACATGTTGTTTACCTCCAGTTCTTTATCTTCAAGATGTTTTCCTAATGTATACTATGAAGATACATCCAACCTTCTGCTCAGTATCTTCCTTCTGTTAACAAAAGTGGTGATTTCCAAACATGGTTGCAAATCAGAAATACGTGGCCCTGACCCTGGAGATCCTGCCTGAGTAGAAATGTCACTGTGTTCAGGGTTCTGTAGTTATTACAAAGACCCAGGTGATTCTGATCCAGCTAGCACTGGTCCTCCAACTGATGCTTTCATTTGAACCCAAAGTGTGTATTTTTTTAGATGGGTGATTGAATTTGGGATGCAGGTAGAACACACGGGTTAACCATCCATTCTGGAGAGAGCTGTAGCACTGACGTTCAGCGACTCCATGAGGCGGTGTGCTGGCTGTAACCCAATGTGAAACAGTTGCTATCATCCTTTAAGAAATGCAGAATACTCGTAAAGTGGGCTTTTAGTCACCTTCCTAATAAGGAAATACCATATATGAGATTACCATTTGTTTTTATTTAGTCTGAGTAATTCCCTTGTGGATGATATTTTATTTATACTTTAAAAAGAAACAGTAGATAATATTTACTCATTGTGCTAAGAATGTATTCTCTACCCTCCTGCTGACAGATAGACATTTAACCTTAAGAAATAAATAGGTAAGATTCTATCTCTTTTATGCTTTATGTGAGCACTGATAATACAAGGGTACTTTCAAAAGTTCATGGAAAGAGTCATATTATCTTTTAATTCTATTTTTCCATGAATTTTTTGAAGTAGTCTCATAGCTTTTCTGTGAAAATGTATGGTTATGTATACTCCTGCCTAGTGAAACTGTTCCATATTCCTGGAAGTTCTCTTTTGCATCCTGTAAATATGGCTGGGAAGGAATAATATAACTACTAATGGTTTGAGAGACAACTAATCTTAACATATCTCAGTTGCATAGTGTTCTGTTAGCAAAAATGTATGAAACACTAGACACATGACAGTAGGAAATATCCACCAGTGTTTTAAAATTATGTTGCCAGGTCTGACTAATGCAGTGAAACATGAAACAGAAATAAAAGGTGTGATTATTGAAAACTGGAGATTAAATTTTCATTAGTTGCAATCATATATGAGTACATTGAAAACCTGAGGGAAGTAAAAAAAACAATGAAACAGAAATAAAAGGTGTGATTATTGAAAACTGGAGATTAAATTTTCATTAGTTGCAAACATATATGAGTACATTGAAAACCTGAGGGAAGTAAAAAAAACAAAATAAAATTTATAAGTTTAGTAAACTGATTAGAAATGAAACGTATCCAAAGTCCATACTTCTTTTATATACAAACTTGGTTTGATTTATATAGTCTTGTTATTTTTATGTATTAATTGGTGAGATAATAAATAGAAAAATTAAGTTTGCATTATCAGGATAGAGAATCAGGAGAGAGCAGCACCGTAAAAAGTAAGAGAGAAGGAAGTTGTAAGGAGGGCTTAACAATCACAGTAAATGTCGTGGAGAGATCCACGAAAGTGAGCCCTGTGGATACCACTGCTGGTCTAGAGATCACTGGCTTCCTTGGTCAGAGGCATGTCGGTAAAGCGAAGGAAATGGAAACTAGACCATAGTGGTTGAAGAATGAATGTAATGTAAGAGCCAAGACATTTACTTGAATTTGATAGTAGTGGAAGAAAAAGAGAGAAAAAGAATTTTGTTGTTGCTACTATTTTTGTCATTTTGTTTGTTTTAGAACCCTTTGTTATTTCCCATGTGAGATAGGAAACTCCTCAAAGGCAGGATCTCTGAGTCTGTGGGCCCTGTCCTGTCCTGAATAGCACTGCCTTGAATGTGTGAGGCTCTCACTGGCTTTAAGTTTAGTTCATGACTGTGAAAGTTTTAGAATGGTCATTGGTGGGCAAAATACAGAATACGTTTCAGTGAATTTTCACTTATTAAGCTTGGTGACCCTGGTGTGAGACATGCTGTCCCTGTGCCCACACGAGTAGTTGTGCTCTCCTCATCTCCCTGTCCTTCCAGTCTCACCACCTTCATTCACAGGCCTCCCTTTGGGCTTTTTTTACAGCTATGAAACCTACATAGTTGAATACCACCATGCTTCTCCTGTAGGGTATGTGATGAGGATGAGATTTGGCTTTGGAGTGCTGGGAACCTGAGGAATTGCTGAGCACTCAGACACCAGCCTGACCACTAGAGAGCCCACAACACAATGAACAAATTGAACTTCCATAACAACAGAGTCATGCAAGACCGCCGGAGTGTGTGTATTTTCCTTCCCAATGATGAATCTCTGAACATCATCATAAATGTGAGTAGATCCAATTTTATGAATGTTTAAATATTGTGTTCTTACCAGTGACCACATTCAAGTTATGGCTTGGTTAAGGGTGAAATCATCACAGAATAAGACCAGCAATAATGTGGCAGAATTGGGGCATTAAGGAGCCTACACAGGTATAAGCTTAGCATTATGCCTTAAGTGCAACTGCCTTCCATATTCTGTCACCTGGGGCAGAATTAGAGTTTTGGTTACTGTATTGAAAAACAAACATTTGCTATTTGTAAACTTTTTATTGAAATAAATTTAACTGCCTTCCATATTCTGTCACCTGGGGCAGAATTAGAGTTTTGGTTACTGTATTGAAAAATAAACATTTGCTATTTGTAAACTTTTTATTGAAATAAATTACTGTTGAAGCTTGTGAATTTGTGTTTTAAATGATTAGAGTTACCACCCACACACAGAATGGTAATAATTGCTAGTTTTTTAATGCACATCTTAATTATTGTTTTAATAATAGCCAAAGTCTAGCCAATTTTAAGAATTAGGTGCATAGGCTGTGCATTTGAGCAGTAAGCAACCATTCATGAGTCAGAGTCAACTCGCTTAGTTAACCTGGATATTACAGAATGTGATACTATTTTTTTAACTTTTAAAAATTGAGTTATATGCTATTGCATATGACAGTAATTCTTTCTTTTTCATTGTTATGTGATATTCCATTGTATAAGTATGCCGAATTTATTTTTTTCATCTACTGCTGATGGTTGTTTGAAGTTTCAGGCTATTACAAATAAAACTGTTATGAACATTTTATGTGTATGTACATGTATATACATTTCTGGGTTTATACCCAAGGGTGCATTTCTGAATCATAGAGTATACATATTTTAGCCTTGTTAGAGACTGCCAAACAATTTTATGGTAATCAATATCATGCCTAGCATTTTTCAACCCCTCTCCATATTATGAACTTTCATTTCTTTCTTTCGCTGTATGTATTCTGATGGAATTAGGGGGAAAATTGCCTTTGTGCATGCCTTGAATTAGTTTTCTTTCCTATATGCTACTATGTTTTTAATCTAATTGCTATATAAAAGAATATTTCTTAAATGTTATACTGAATATATATGACATTTAAATTGCTTCATTAAAAAGTTTAGATAGGAAAAGATTCTGCTTATTGCCATATCATTTTGGCTTTATTCTGACAACCAAGATAGTTTCTTGATTTACTAATGTATCCTCGTTTTTGCTCATAGGGATTGTCTGGGCATCAGGTATGCCTACTGGAGGAACTTTATCATCTGTTGGGCAGATTTTATAGTGATTAGCTATATTTCTGCTCAGTGTACAGAAGTTGTTTTGGATGAGCGAACTGGTAGGCTATTATTTTGGCAGCATTTGGTTTTTAAAACCAAATAAAAATTGGTAATATATCTCTTTTCATTGCGGGCACTGGCAAAATAAATTAAAATGTAATTCTATTTATAGATGTGACTATACTGTTTGACTTCTTTTATACAGTTATATAAAAGATACCTTCCATATTTTAAAAATATACATAATCTGGGACATATAGCATAAGCACTTAAGAAGCTTCTCTCACTTCCATTTTTCTCTTTTTACCTGATGGAATATGTGTGTGTATGTTCATGTGCGTGTATACACATGCAGGGTATGGAACAAACCTTACTAACCACAGTTAAGTGAAAGGAAGACTGATCTGACTTAGTGAGAAATACTAAAAGCTCACTGTAATTTTCAAAGAAATTAATTTGTACTAAAATCTCAGCTGAGGAAAATAATTATGCAGAACAGATTGTAGGACAGTCAGTTCATTCATTGCTATAGATCAGTGATTTTTAAAGTTGAATGTACATCAGAATTATTTGGGGGAGCTTGCTAAATATTCAGATTGTTTGGCTGCACTCCTTAGAAATGTTGATGTAGTAAGTCTTACAGGAGGACACAGGAATCCGCAATTTACAAGATCCCCTAAACAGGGTCTATAGATACGCTAAAATTTTAAGCCAGACAGGCAAAGACCTGTGTACCAGCACCACTTAATTTCTTTCACTCTCCAGAACTCTATTTACTGGATTGTATTTTTGGCATTGTGTCAGGGGCCTAGCCCTTAGAACAGTACAGATGCTCCTTGACTTACAGTAGGGTCACATCCTGATAAACCCATCATACACTGAAAATATTGTAAGTCAAAAATGCATTTAATACAACTACCAAACCTCATAGCTTATAGCCTGGTCTACCTTAAATGTGCTCTCACATCCTGATAAACCCATCATACACTGAAAATATTGTAAGTCAAAAATGCATTTAATACACCTACCAAACCTCATAGCTTATAGCCTGGTCTACCTTAAATGTGCTCAGAACACTTACATTAGCTTACAGTTGGTCACAGTCATCTAACACAAAGCCCATTTTCTAATAAAGTGTTGAATATCTCATGTAATATATTAAATACTCTAATGAAAGTAAAAAACAGAATGGTTTTGTGGGTACCCACCATTAACATACACGGCTTAAAATCATCGTAAAGTCAAAAAGTCATAAACTGAGCCATTGTAAGTTGGGGACCATCTGCACATGATACAAAGTAAACACAAAGTCAGTGTTGGTTGTTGTTAGTAATAACAATGTAACTATCATCATCACTGTTGAGAAATGGTACAAGATTACTCATATTTTGACCCTACAATCTGCTAGATTTGGGACCTTTGGACAGGTTGCTTAAGCTTAATCACCCTTTTCACTTGTAAAAACAATTTGCCCATACCTGGAACATAGTAGGTACTCGATTTGTATTAGCTTCCCTTCTGCCTTCCCTTTATGAAGACTAATTGAGGGCAGTATTGTAGTGAAAAGACATGGATGTACTTAAAACACACAGACCTGAATTTAAATCTCATGTATGAATGACTTCTGGAAGATTAATTAAGCCTCCCTTGGCCTCAACATCTTCACTTGTAAAATGACAATAATACCAATGCTGCAGGATAATTGTGAGAGTTCAGGGTCAACACATACCATAATTTCTGAATAGATATAAATAGTAGCTGCTATTATTATTTTAATCCTTAGATAGATAAATTTATACTGCTTCAGTTCTCCTCTTTTACAAAATTAATATAATAATCTCTCTAAGATGGTCAGGACTATGATCATGGACATTGAAGCCACATATCATGATTAAGTGGGTTTTAGAGTCACAGGGAACTTTGTTGAAATTTCTGCTCAACTACTTACTTTGCAACTTTGAGCATGTTTACCTGGGGGTTGGTTGAACGTACGTGTGTGCGTGTTTTACTTTGATTTCCTCATCTATTTAGTGGGGATAATCTTACCCTCCTCACAGGAACATTGCAAGGATTTAAAGATGTCACATGCATAAAGCACTTATAGTGCGGTGCCTAGCACATGAGAATTGCTCCATAAGTGAGCACTTAATAGAATAGCACTTGTTTTTATTTCTTTGAGCTGTTTGTTCATTTCATTAGGATGCTCTGTTAATGAAACGAAAACCTCATGTAGGCCTACAAGATTTCTTATTCCAGGGTGTGTAGTAGACTCTTCTGCCATGCCTCAGCTCCTTTCTAGCAAGTGGTTGGACCGAAGGAGGGACTGGGTTAAGTAGTGTGGAGGCTTCCCCAGTGCTAGTCAAACACTTCAAGGCTGACAGGGGTCCCTTTTTTTCCTGCAAAGTATTATCTTCATATTCAGAAAATAGCAGTTGATGTTGTAGAATTTGGGTGTAACAAATTAACTGTAGCAAAAACTACTTCATGAACAGTTTCATTTTCTTCATCATTTCTAAATATTTTTTTAAACAAAGAAAGTTTGTTCCCTGGCAAGTGTAGTTGATAGAATGTTGCTTTTCTGCATGTGGAATAAATTTAGTATCTTAGTTATTCTGAACTTTTATGAGTTGTACTAATAGAGGCTTAAATGATTTTAATCATCAGGCAAATATTCGATATGAAAACTTTGGAAATAAAATCATGGTAAATGTAAGAGTCAAAGTTTTTGAGTGATATAAATTGTGGCTAAGAGCTTTATTCTTCACTAAGACTGGAGTGAACAATTTTTTTTTTTCTAGTTTTAAATATTCTTGTGCAATAACAAACCATTGACACTTAGGGTCAAATGCTGTTTTAATTTATAAGTTCCATATTGAATATATTTTTAGATAAAGCTTTAACTTTTATTCTTCATACCTCATACTATATAGCACTTTTTAAAGTTCTCATTGCTCTTAAGGATGAAAGAACTTGAGAAATTTCACAATGAGCTAAAATGTAGCCTTAAAGACTCATAATTTGCAAATACTGAAAACTCAAGCTTGTTTTCACAGCAGGTAAGACCTTAGAGAAACAGCCTTATTTAATTATAGTTTTTAAACAAGAACACTGTACTTACTTGATAGTTGTTAAAGAGCTTAGTCAGTAGGCTCCAAATACTTGATTTAAACTAGCGGAACAATAATAATTACATGGGATGCATGGAGGAAATGTACAGCATTATTTGGTCTGTAGTCACACAAAGTTACAACATGGTTTATTTTACGTATATTTAGTTTGTGGTTTGGATTTTAACTTTTTATTACATTTTTCCTGGCTGCTTTGTGTCTGACATTTTTAAATACAGTCAAACTAAGGATTAAAGGTGCTATAGACGCTATGACATTTTAAGTCTCGAATTGGTAGTATATAGTTCAATTTAGGAATTTTATATGACATTTGGCACTTTCTTCTCTTTATCATTCTGTTTGTTTAAGCTTATTTGTAAAGTAGAATTATGGTAAGATGGAACTCAAAATCCAGAGTCTTTTTAGTGAATGTTGGAAATAGCATAGGACTTCTGTAGGATAGAAATCAGGATCTTAATTGGGCTGAATCAAGGTAGCTATACACAAAGAGGATGATAATGATTTCCCATTGGTAGATGTGTTCTCCCGGTGGTGTTGGTGGTGTTGGTGGGCATTGACAGATTTTTTCTAAATTGCTGAATGGCACATTTATAAAATGGTTTGCTCAGTAAATCAGGGAGTAGTCTGCAGCTATGGAACAGAATGAAGATGAGGAGGAACCCATGGGCAATCAGATTCCTGGCTTTCACTCGTCAAACATTTACTGAATGCATACTGTATATCCTGAATATAAAATAGCACACTGTCCCAGCTTCATTGAGTTCCTAGTGCTTCTAAGTAGATGAATTGGTACTACTCTGGCCTTAAATATCTTCTGCTCTTTCCAGTGGGTAAGGTGCTTCAGGTTGGTTGCCTTTTAATAATGAATGTGGAAAAGAGCAGTAAACCCATTTTTCTTACTATAATTAGGATTATCATCAGTTTTGAATCATTTGGCTTTCAATTTTTCAAGGGATCTCAGCATGTTTTTATTTTCCTAATCTGAGTTCCATGTTAATGTATGATAAAAAGTCATGAATGTAAATTAGCATAGCCATTGTGGAAAACAGTATTAAGATTCCTCAAAAATTAAAAATAGAACTACCGTACAATCCAGCAATCCCACTCCTGGGTATATACCTAAGGAAATGAATCATGTCAAAGAGATAGCTACACTCCCATGTTCATTGCGGGATTATTCATAGTACTCAAGGTATGAGAGCAACCTAAGTGTCCATCAACAGATGAATGGATAAAGAAAATGTGATATATATACACAATGGAATACTTTTCAGCCTTTAAAAAGCAGGACATCCTGTCATTTGCAACAACATGGATGAACTCAGAAGATATAATGTTAAGCGGAATAAGCCAGGCACAGAAAGATGAATACCACATGATCTCATTTATGTGTGGAATCTAAAAAGTCTGAACTTATAGAAGTAGAAAGTAGAATAAAGACTGTTTTATCATTTAACTTGTAACTTTTCAGAATAACTTATCCCCAGAATTTCAAATTAATATAGTTTTATGATTGAATTATACTAGGACTCAGGAAAGGAATCTGGTTTAGGTACTAAAAAATATTAGACAATAACAGTGATTGATTAAAGTAAATAAAAGCTAGGCAGTCACTCATTGTGCAGTATATGAGTATTTTTCTTAGACCATCAAGAGGAAAACTTTTCTTGAAAAGATACTTTCCCTGAATAGGCATTTCTCAAGAGAAGACATAGAAATGGCAAATAGGTATATGAAAAAAAAGGTCAGCATCAGTAATGCAAAATATAAATTAAAACCACAATGAGATATAACCTCAAACTTGTTAGAATGGCTGCTATCAAAAAGACAAAAAATGAGTGTTGGCAAGGGTGTGGAGAAAAGGGAACCATTGTACATTGTTGGTGAGAATGTAAATTAGCATAGCCATTGTGGAAAACAGTATTAAGATTCCTCAAAAATTAAAAATAGAACTACCGTACAATCCAGCAATCCCACTCCTGGGTATATACCTAAGGAAATGAATCATGTCAAAGAGATAGCTACACTCCCATGTTCATTGCGGGATTATTCATAGTACTCAAGGTATGAGAGCAACCTAAGTGTCCATCAACAGATGAATGGATAAAGAAAATGTGATATATATACACAATGGAATACTTTTCAGCCTTTAAAAAGCAGGACATCCTGTCATTTGCAACAACATGGATGAACTCGGAAGATATAATGTTAAGCGGAATAAGCCAGGCACAGAAAGATGAATACCACATGATCTCATTTATGTGTGGAATCTAAAAAGTTTAACTTCTAGAAGCAAAGAATAGGATGGTGGTAAACAGGCTTGGGGGTGGGGGGAAGAAGATTAGGGAAATGGTCTAAAGAATACAAAATTTCAGTTAGGAGGAATAAGTTCAGGATATCTATTGTAGAACACAGTGACTATAGTTAATAACAATGTATCGTATACTTGAAAATTGCTGAGAGAATAGATTTGAAGTGTTTTCACTGCAAAAAAAAAGTGTGTGCAGTAACGGATATGTTAATTAGCTCAATTTAGCCATTCCACAATATGTGTGGGTGTGTATTTGTATGTATATATGTGTGTGTGTATGTGTATCAATAAAAACATAATGTTGTACACCATAAATATATATAATTTTATATGTCAATTAAAAATAAATAAAACTTTAGAGAAAAGAAAGAAAAGATACTTGCCAAGTAAATACATTTGGTAATCTGAGTAAGCTATTCTGCGTACCTTCTGAAATACTCTAATCATACACCATGGTTTGAGAGCCTTGTCCATGTATCATAAGATTTATGAGTCTTGTGCAAGATTGCATTAGCACTTTATTGCCATGTTGTAAAAATTGGTATTGTGATAATCATTACTGAAACATAGCCCCAGATTAAAGTGATTCACATAAGCCAGCAATTGTTTTACTAGTGTCAGCTTGTTCTTTTAAGGCAAGTTGCATTAAATTCCCTGATTGTGGCTTACTGTATGGACTTAATTGAATTGCTATTTCAAGTAGTACTTTTTTCCCCCCTACAGGTTAAAATTCTGTGTCACCAGTTGCTGGTCCAGGTGTGTGACCTGCTTAGGCTAAAGGATTGTCACCTCTTTGGACTCAGTGTTATACAAAGTAAGTCCTACTCCCATCTCTGGTGGATTTAGCCAACAGTTCCTGAGGAAATACATTTTATAGCTGTAATTTAAATCAGACAAATTGTTATAAAATTGTGGTTGTCAAAATACCCATAAAGTGATCTTCATTTTTAATCTGGTATTTCTTTTTTAGTCTCAACTACTGTGTATTTCTTACAAAATTCAGGATTTTAGGTCATGTATTTATTTTAGTTTGAACTTAAAAATTGATTCTTCTTTAGGAATCTAGATTTTGTGTGTTTGCTTTTTTATGTTTTAATAAACTAAGCTTCATTTTTGTTTTGTGTTCGGGGAACAGCTGGAGCTGGTAGGAAAGTGTCTTAGATATTTTTGTAACTTAATTTATTTTGTAACTTTTGACATTAAAGTTTGCTTGCTATTGACTATATAGTATAACAGAATGGTCTATTAATTTAATCTCATTTTCTGTTTTTTTCTCATCCCTTCTTTTTTTTCCAATCGGACTTTATGCCTTGGAAATATAGGATCAGTTTCTTCTGTATTATGTAGAGTAGATTTTCAAGGATTCCTTATAAGCTTTCTTCTCTCATAACACCTCAGTTATAGTTAAATTCCCAGGTCTCTCTGATCTACATCCATTTCCTATAAGCTTTCTTCTTTGAAATTATATTGTCAGATTTCTCTTAATTTAGTCTTCTGCGGCAAAAGCCTTTCAAATCTTCACTCATTTTACCAGGAGGACTTCTTTGTGAAATGTAGTTAGTTATGTTTTTTATACTTGGATATGGATTATTTTCTGTTACTGGAATTGGTTTAAATTTAAAAGCTCAAGATATCTTGAGAATCTGGTCAATACCATAAAATGCTTACATCTGCCAACTTGGAAAGTGTAACATAGTCAGCTGATAAACAAGGCCACTTTTCTCCAAATGTGAGCTGTTTTCAGTTGCCATTTTAGGAGAGGCCGAAGAGCATGATGCAGGGAACACATCAGGACCCTGTGAATCAGCCATTTGCTCTTCAGTTTCTTCCTGTGGTAGTTAAAGCAATAAAAACACAAATGCTAAACTTCGTCTTTGTGTTAGTACATCCTCAGTCATTCCTACAAGGAAGAGTCTAGAAGCAATAAGGTGCCCTATAGATTGTGAGTAACTTTTATTATTCTATGCTCAAAGTTAATTCTTCTTGCTACATCTGCAGCCAGACTGTTGATCTTTGTTGTTCAACAAGTCAGTCCAATTAAACCAGTTTACAGCTTCCATAGGTTTCAAAATGTTTTTAAGATGTCCTTTTTAAAAGAGAGATTGTACTATGGTGAAAGAACATTGGAATGAGAATCAGATGACCTGGTTCTAATTCTGTTTCTACCACTAACTAGCAGTGTGGCTTTGGACACTCCACTTGACTTCTCTCGATGTCAGATTTTTCACATGTCAAATGGAAATTACTGCTCCACCAGCTTTGCAGGATTGATGTGTGCTTGAAAATTCTTAAGATACCAAGCTCTGGTCAAACTGTAGATAGTACAGATATAGTGGTCATTTAAAAATATATATGTGCCATTATGGTGAACAGTCTCAATTGTGTTCATTATGTTGCTTCTGTAGATGGGAATTCGAGCCAAATACAAATCAGCTTCAACAGGGAGATTGTCTGGTCTTGTTCATTTCATGTTTAATCAGTAATATGAGAGACGGGCAATATTGTTTGTTGACCTGATAAATGGATTTAAGTAGCTTCCCCTTTTTTGTCTCTGGGACCTCTTCCTTATCTCTTTCAGTCAAATTGGTTGACCTGATGTGCCATTTATAGCCAAAAAGTAGCTTTATCCTTCCTGTTCTCTTTTGGCATTTTTCCAATCAAATCCCAGTATTCATTCAGCCAGAAGTCACAATGTAGTAAATTGTGTTTATCCTGGAATAGACCAAAGGAACACACTTCCCTTCTATGTAGAGCTTTCCATGAGGATGCCCCTTAGTGACGGTTAGAGAAAAGGAATAAGTTTTTATAAAGCTTAGAATAAAATAGGAATGCTGAAAGCTTTTTTTGTGAAATATGTCTTGAAACATGTCTCTCTTTTAAAAGATTCTCTTTGGGAAATCTGAAAATTTTTGATTTTTATCAGCTTGTTTTCATACAGTTAGATCATTTTACATAGATTTTAGCAGTCTTATTTTCTGATTATCTTATAAACATTATCCCCTTGAAGGACTATCTCAGCATTCATGCTTTTTTTAGTGAAGATTCTCCTCTTTCCATGAGATTGGTCCCAAAGGCAGTGTGAGTAATGGTTATCATATTGTCATGCTGTGTTTTGATGTGGGGAGCACAGAGAAGGAATAGTCTTTTTTTTATATGTAATTTATTTATTTTGTAGTCGACACATATTGATTGTACATATTTATGGGGTACAGAGTTATAGTTCAATACATGTATACAGAGTGTGATGATTAAATCAGGGTAATTAGCATATTTATCATCGCTTATCATTTCTTTGTGATGAGAACATTTGAGCAGGAGCAATTTGAGAACATACAATAAATTATTGTTAATCATTTACAACTAGCACTACTGTACACCACTAGAACTTATTTTTTCCATCTAGTTGTAGTTTTGTATCCATTAACCAACCTCTTCCTGTCCCTTCTCTCCCCTTCCCAGCCTCTAGTAACCCACAATTTTACAATTCTACACTCCACTTCTAAAAGCTCAACTTTTTTTTTTTAAGCTCCCACATATGAGTAAGAACATGCTGTATTTATCTCTCTGTGCCTCAGAGACTATACTTCACAAAGTGTGGATCAGTCTCCTCACTTGGAAATAGGCTGTTATCAGTGTTTTCTAATTTCTTACATAGCAAATAAGATGGTGTTTCTGCCCTGTTTCATTATTTTGCACTTATGAGAACAGTCTTCTGTAAGCTAAACAAAAGCATGTTTTTCTGAAACTAAGTAATGCCCACATTGTTGGAAGTTTAGACTATAAGTTTTAATGACCCTAGAAGCAGGAGTTGGAAACTAACATTTCTTTTAAACATTATATATCTTTAGTAGTATGTGTTCTCTATTGCAAAAGTAAAACAATTCATAAAGAATCTCATTAATGTGTAGCCCATAGGATCTTTTATTTTTCAGTATCTTGTGAATTTTTTTGGTAGTGTGCAAATTCAGAGTACATTTATAAACCTTGAGGTTTTTTTTTTTAAAGTTGTTTCTTTGTATATTCTTTTCTTTTAAAAATCTCTCCTTTCTTACCTTCTTGTCTCCTTTTTTTAATGTGCAGATAATGAACACGTATATATGGAGTTGTCACAAAAGCTTTATAAGTATTGTCCAAAAGAATGGAAGAAAGAGGCCAGCAAGGTACGACAATACGAAGTCACTTGGGTGAGATTACATTTATGAGCAAAATTATTTTGATTTTTTTAAAGTGTTTATTTTATACATTAGAAAAAATCTTAAGCAATACTTTATACAGTAAAAAATAGGAAAGGGAAATTAATGATAAGTTCTAAAATGTCATATTAATCAAGTATTAATAATTTATAGCATGTAACAGTAGATTCTGAATATCTGTTAAATTATGTTGGATGATAATGTTTTAGTAATCTTGGGATAATTCTTTGAAGTGAAAAGGATGGAAACATTTGCTCCTATGGCTATGTTAGTTGTCAGAACTGAAGTTCAAGAAATTATTAGTAGTTTTTGAATCTACTTTTACTATACTTGCATTTGATACTTAGTTTATTATACTGGTGCCTTTGTTTAGTAAACATCAATTCCATTTATGTGGGAGAGCATTCACAGGGAACTAGTGTTTTCAGGATCACCCTAGTAAGTCAGGAATAAAACCCCAGTGTCTAATCCTAGACCCTACAATTTGTGTTTAAGAATTCTTGGAGTAAATTGTAGTCAACTACAAAGTAAAGAACTTGAATGTCTAAATAAACAAACAACATTTCAGAATTTGGTATGTGGAATGTCCGAGGAACAAGAGAACATTTGTAATAAGGAGCAAATGGTCACTCCAGGGGACAGAGCTGAGCAAGGAGCTGGATCTCAGCTAGAAATTTCCATTAGCATTTATTTTTATCTTCCCTTATGTTGTCATTGGCATTACAGTGAATGAGAACCAGAGAGAGGGATGGTGCCCTGTTTTGCTTTATAACCTTCTGGTATCCATATGGGACAACTGTCTACCCACTAAAGCCCCGCTTATTACAAGGAGATAAAACCTTTCAGTGTTTAAAAAGTATCTTGCAAACAATGGTGTTTTGGTTGTTTTAGAACGTATTTTTGAAGTAACTAAAAATAGCTTGATTTTTATGTGTGTCTTTGTTTTAGGGTATTGACCAGTTTGGGCCTCCTATGATTATCCACTTCCGTGTACAGTACTATGTGGAAAATGGCAGATTGATCAGGTATGAGAGCAGGGAGAGATTTGAGACCTTTATTTCCTATGCACTTCTTCTGACATAGCAAATAAGTTACTCATGTTTACTGTTTGTCTCCACCTGTTAGACTATAAACTCTATAAGAGTGGAAATTTTTTTCCTTTTTAATCTTTTTGCACATGCATGTATCCTCAGTCCCTAAAACAGAGGCACAGTAGGCACTCAATAAATATTTGGTGAATGAACGAATGATAATGTTAGACTGTTGATGAAATGTAAACATCATACTGGCTCATTTTTTTTATACTCTGCACTTTCAAAAATAAATCATTCACCAGAAAGATATTTCTTTCAAGAAGGAACTACCACTTTTTTGAAAGACTATTTAAATATCTATTCTGGTGATGGGGTGGAGAGAGGGGGAGGGGCAGGAACCCTCCTCTAAAAGCACATACATGTTTCTATAGCCTGGTTTTGTTTTCACATTTGGGGTCTTGCTTGTATTCTTGGGAATAGCTTTAAACCAAAGAGTAAGGCCCTTTGGAACTATCCTGTGAGAATCTTCAGAGTCAGTTTGACAAAGGCAGGTAAGATTCTTTTTCTGGAGGTGAGTTCATGAATAATACCATGCATATCATACATATTCAGAACTTACCATTTCAGAAGCTCTCAGTTCATCATTTGTATAGGAGGATTCAGTGATGAAAAATTTCAGAGGTGATTTTCTTGGCTGATAGAAAATACTAGAAATGTGAACTCTCTGTTTTATTTATTTATTTTTAAACTTTGAGAAACTCCATGTGAAAGAAGCAAAGATACATTTGGCTAGTGAGCTATACATAAAATTAGCTCTTTATTTATATCAGGGCCAAATGCAAATTAAAAAGTAAAATATATTAGCCCATAAAGAACTTTTTTTAAAGGCTGAGAAACTTTGATATTCATTCTCAGTTTATATAAAATTTTCACCCAATTTACCCAGTAAGTGTGAAATGCCCTGGAAAGAAGGAACATATATTATTTAACCATTAATTAACCCCCTGGGGCTAATGAATTTTTAATTAATCCCTATCCTTCTGCCCTTTATCTCCCTGGGGATGAACCAGTCCAAACAGTGTGTGGTCAGCATTATAAAAAGCAGTGCTCTGAAAAGTACTCTGTCCTAAGGGGAAAAAATTGAATAAATGCTTTATTTTTAAGTTTTTTGTATTTAAACATGGTCTTGGTTAAAATAAACCCATATGTTTTTATGATTATCTACTAATGATATTAGCTATGAACCTCAGCTAAACATTTAACCTGAAATGATAGGGAAGCAAATAATTTCACTAAAATACATACACACACAAATTTTTTTCTTATCTGTACTTTGATCACAAAAAGCATCCTATTTGTGGGTGAACATTTTTTTTTTTTCTTTTGAGTTTTGACTGTGCTTTCCCCAGTCAGCTCTTCTTACCTGACATATTTAATGGTTACTGTATTTATTTCTGAATTCCATGGTTTGTAACAAGGGCACTATTAGTACTTACTGTTGTGGGGAGTATCATGATTGTCATGACATATGCCTAAAAAACACACCCATAGAGTAACATCCACTTAATCATAAAACAAAAAACATTTAAGGAAAGGTTTCTGTTTATTCTTTCTTAGAGAAATTTTTTTAAAAAGAACACTATAGTTAAGCAAATTTTTTTGAAGGGTATATAAAAATAAACATTTTTTAAAGGGCCTTAGAGTATTTATAGTGTGCTCAGCTAAAAAACAAAACAGAACAGCAAAACATTAAAGCCAGGACTGCCCCTCAGATTTGTCCTCATTTATTTCACGTGTGCATCATCATCGTAGAAAAATTACTTTAATAGAAAAAGTGCCTGGGCTTCTGTTGTAATACTTGTTCAGTGAAATATTTACCATATTGGAGTGGTATACTTCAGATCTTTTCTTCCTTCTCTGAATGGATCAAATATTGTAAGCCTCAGGACATGTTATTTTTGCTGTCTGGATAGTCTGACTTGGACTTCTGACCCCCTGTGACCTCATTGAGGCAGCCGTCAGGTATAGCTGCAACCTCCCCCTTTCCAGTGAGGTCGGAGAGAGGGGCACAAACAGAAGGGCTCCTGTCACCAGATGGAGAGCAGGGTTTGGGTTCTGTTTACATGCTATTGGATTGTTCCATCAAAATGTGAGTTCTGTTTTCTTTTATTTTTCTAGTGACAGAGCAGCAAGATTCTATTATTACTGGCACCTGAGAAAACAAGTTCTTCATTCTCAGTGTGTGCTCCGAGAAGAGGCCTACTTCCTGCTAGCAGCCTTTGCCCTGCAGGCTGATCTTGGGAACTTCAAAAGGAATAAGCACTATGGAAAATACTTTGAGCCGGAGGCTTACTTCCCATCTTGGGTAGGCACTGTCTTCAGATTCTAAAGAGTGTTTTCTCTAGCGCATTTCTAGTTCATTTTGCTGCTACTCACGCTGCTTCAAGAAGAGGGGACCCAGACATTTTGTGGCCAGTAGTTTTACTCTTCATGAAGCCCCAAAACAAATTTCACACTTGAGAGCATGGCACACATGATGGTACACGTGCTTATAGTTAATGGGGAAGAGGATCGCTGTCCATCCTAACTGTGGTGGAACTTGGACTCTGCCAGCCTCCTTCGGCACTTATATGGCTTTTGCCGTCTTACCTGCTCTTACTGGAGCATCATTTTCCCCCTTTGAAGGCAGAAAAACACTACTCTTTAAAAGGTAAGATAATTCACAGCTTTTCCTGTGCTGAGCAAACAAATACAAGTCAGCTTCTTGCTCTGACCTCCGTGTCCTTCACTCCCAGGAGAGGAAATTTAGGTTATTCCAGCAGGAACCTTCTCAGCTACCCTTTCTCCACCCCACCCTGTTTCTGTTCCCATTCTCCCTCCAGGTCTTCACTGTGTCTTCTCTCTCTCTCCCATATTGTTAGCCTCTCCTCAGACTAACTCTTCTTCAGTCAGAACATACGAAACATATTTGGTTCTCACCCGCGCATCTTTGGGAAAGATCCCAAAGAAGATTTCCCTTGTCAGTAAAGCTTTTTGGAAAAGTCTTGTGTATTTGATTTTTCACCTTCTTTACTTCCTGCCTGTATTCCTCAAGCCACTTCTGTCTGCCTGCTCTCCCCAACAGTTCACTAATCGTGCTGTCCCTAAGGTCATCAGTGAGATTTATATTGCCAAATCCAATGGATACTTTTCACTCCTTTTCCTGTATTTTAATGCTGCCCTTGACACTTAGCCACTCACATTTTGGGAGATCTCATCCAGATTAATGCTTTTAATGATCACCTATGTGCTGGCGTCCAATGGATACTTTTCACTCCTTTTCCTGTATTTTAATGCTGCCCTTGACACTTAGCCACTGACATTTTGGGAGATCTCATCCAGATTAATGCTTTTAATGATCACCTATGTGCTGGCAACACCCAAATCTGTTTCTCTCCTCTATATCCATGAGGGAGCTGCTTACCCATAGACGCTTCAAACTCAAAATGTCCTAATCAAATTCATCTTGTTCCCACCTCAATTCTATGTATTCCTGCCTCTGTATTCCTAATCTCAGCTCATGGCACTGCAAGTCACCCAGAAATTGAGAGTCATACGGATCCCCCCATCACCATTCCTTCTCCTGGTGCCATCCAGTCAACTGCAATATCCTCTAACATATACACTTGATTACCCATCACCCAGCTTAAGAAATAAAGTTCTCTTGTATATTTTTGCTGCTGTTAGTTCTCCTAATTTTTTTTTTTCAGCTGGCTGGTACAGGGATTGAACCCTGGACCTTGGTGTTATCAGCACCATTCTCTAACCAACTGAGCTAACAGGCCAGCTGCTCCTAAGTGTTCATCCCATCCCCTCCCCATCATAGTTTCTACCATTTCCCAGGTTCCAGCTCTCAGCAGCATTCAGCAATGCGATTGCAGAGGCTTGTCCTTGCTTCAGTCTTTATCCCATAGCTTGCAGATGAGGTGATTTTGCTTCTGAGTTAAACCTTCAGGGGCTCCCCCTGTCACCTGTGAAGCGAAGCCCAGACTCCCAAGCATGACTTAGAAACTCTCCAGGACCTGGTCCATCCCAGCATTTCCAGCTTCCTTTCTGCTTGTCCTACACCTTGAACTTTATGGTCTGGTGACATCCAACAGTTGATATGTCTTCTCACCTACTGTGGTGCTTCACACTTCTGGGCCTTTCTTCTTGCATTATCTTTAGCCAGTGAAGCCCCTCTCCCTGCTTCACCTGGTGAATTCCTACTCATCCTCTAAGACAGCTCAGGTGTGGTTCACTCGGGGGAGACCAGACTCTCTACATGTCCAGTGCCCCTCCTCTGGAATCAAGAAGATGATGGACATAAGTGTTTTACATCTTATTTTCAAGTCATCTGTTTATCTCTTGCCCCCAGTAAGCTAAGTGTTTGTTAGTATGTTCTAAAGGACAAGTATAAACTTAATCTTTTCTGTTTTGTCAGTACTTCATATTGAGGTACTTAATAAGTTTTCGTTGAGTAACTTAGAGTGCTTCAGTTGTTGAGGAGAAACCACAACAGGTGTTAAGACGCTACTGAGTATAGTATGTATTTGCATTCTCTAGTTGTCATCAGGAACTCACTAAATCTTGGTCATTTTAATCAAAGCTTTACAATTAGTGTGTCATGTAATCCAGTGTGCCGAGATGCCAGTTATCTCCACCCTTGCGATCACCAAAACCATCTGATTCAGTACCCTTACAAATTGTTGTTGTCTGTGTGTTCTGTCCTGAGAAAAAAGTGGACAAATACTGATTTAGATGATCTCCATGTAAAAGGAATCTGAAAAGAAAAATCAGTAACTTGAGTTCACAGCAAAACTTGATAATTGACCAGTTTTTTTTTAAATTTTTATTGTTTTATTGAAACATGATTGTACACATCTGTGGGGTACTACATTGAATATCAGCGTCTGTGTAATATGTGATGCTCCAGTCAGGATAATTAGTACATTCAGTATTATACAGTATGATCATCTTTGTGGCCCTTTACCAATTTCTTGCTAACCCCTCTTCCTCTCCCCCTTTCCCACCCCAGATGGCCTCAGTTCTGTTCTCTCTTTTTGAAAGTTAAATGCATTATTGTGATTGTTGTATCTTTCTTTCTTTTTTTCTTTCTTAATATTTTTTTTCTTTTTTTAGCTCCCACTTATGAGTGAGGACTTGGGATATTTCCCTTTTTGTGTCTGCTTTTTTCACTTAAGCTGATTTTCTCTAAATTCATCCATGTTGCTATGAATGACAGAATCTCGTTCTTTTGAGGGGCAGAGTAATATTCCATTGTGTATATATGCCACATTTTGCTTGTGCTTCAGTAGACATATAGGTTGGTTCCAACTCTTGGCTATTGTAAATAGAGTTGCGATAAACATGGGAGTGCAGGTGTCCCTTCAACATGATAATTTCCACTCCTTTGGGCATATACCCAGAAGTGGGATTGCTGGATCATATGGTACTTCTATCTATAGTTGTTTGAAGAAGCTCCATACTATATTCCACAATGGCTGCACTAATTTACAATCCCACTGACAGTGTTGGAGGGTTCCCTTTTCTCCACATCCTCGCCAGATTTGTTATTCTCTGTCTTTTTCGTAATAGCCAGTCTAACTGGGGTGAGATGACATCTCAGTG